TCCTACATTATGGAATGTTTCCTAGAAACCGTCATGGTACTCCTTTAAAGTCAGAGCACCAAGTAGCTCCCCCCTTGTTCCCCACTTTTTATATTATAGATTCAATAACTCATTCTTTGTATATACAAAGATCTCTTTGGTACCTGCAAAGTTCCTGGCAGATGGATAAGACAGTTCGTGTGGAAACAAGCCTGCTATAAATATAACACAATGTGGTTGATATTATAATAGAGGTAGAGGTTAAGAGAGCACTTTAGCCCCTGAAGAGAGCTGAATCCTGCTTGGAGCCCTTGTCTAATGCTTTTTTTTTTTCCCCTGGCTGCTCCACGCAGAATGAGCATGTGAGGTCTTTAGTGACCAGGGGCTATCCCCGAGCCTCCTGCAGAGGAAGCGAGAAGTCTTAACCACTGGACCACCAGGGAAGTCCCTCCAATGCTTTTTTTTTTTGACGAAAATCATTTGAGTTGAGCTTGAGGAGTAAGTAGGAGTTCTTTTCCTTAGGGGTGGATGGAAATTTAGGCAGAGATAGAGCGTGAGCAAAGGCACAAAGGTGGGCATGTGCCTGTGGGTGACCAGTTTGGAGGTGGCCACAGTGACCAGAGCAGGGTACCGAGAGGCAGCAGAAAGAGGTTGGGCTTGGACATGCAGGATGGGGCCAGACTCTGAAGACTACTCAAGTCTCTGAACGTTGTGAGTTCGAGACTGTGGCCTATGTTGAATGAGTGGACTGGGAAGATGGGAAGCCATTCATAGTTTTTGAGCTCCAGAATAGCATCATTAGAAAATGGAAGTACTGACTGTTATATAAAGCATCAGCTTCATTTGACCATTGTGCAACTGTTCATCCTCTGCATCACAGAAAATAGTCCTTACTATCCACCATTTATCAATTGTTCAGAAGACTGCTAGGAAACAGAAGATACTTAAGAGTCAGAATAGATGTCATGAAGCCCACATATGCTTTCCTTATAGTAGAGTAAAATTTTATTTTGCTTTGCTTTTAATTTATAAAGGATTTGTATACAGTTAACCTAACTGATTCTCAAGGCAGTAGGAGATTAAATACAACAAATGTAATAGTTGGGAATTGTAAAGAGGGTGAATACAGGAAGGCACACTATCTGAGGCAGGCAGTGTTAATTTTTATACTGGAAGTGAATGAGGAGAGGTTTATAAAAAGCAGAACCTTAACTCAAAAAGTGAAGCACCCTGTGTGGGGCCATTTAGTGAAGAGGCAGATGCCATCGTAAATACCCTAAATACCGTAGCATACTGAAGGTGTCATTCTCACAACACAGTACAGTAATTGGTATGGAAAATGAGCAAACCATTAAGAGAAGAGGTCAAGTTGTGGAGCATAATGGAAATGAGGCCAGGTACTTCTGGTCTCTCGAAGAAAAGGGCAACTTTAGGGGTTTAGAGATATGCAAGTGGTAGGCAGAGGTGGGGGTGGAGTACGAAGCTGCTGTCACGATTGCAACAGAACGGCCTTGAAGAGAGAGGTTTCTTCAGTGTGAAAACCCGGTGAGGAACCTTTGCTGGGCAGGAGGAGCTTTCCCTCTTCAGGGAAAGTGACTTGAGTGATCTACCAATGCAAACCTCAGGAGGGGAGCTGTGGCTTTCTGTGGAGTAGGTAATGATAATTGCTGGAACCCACCAGTGAGGCGGAGGGAGAGACTAAATCAGGTCAACTTAATTACACCTCTAGATAGTACACAGACTTACTGTCTTGTTTTTTATGTAATCTGTGTTTTTGGAGGCTCTGGAGCTGGACTGTTTAGTTTGATCCTAGCTGTAAGAATGTGGGCAGGTTATACCTGTTTCCTTACCCATAAAAGGAAGATGAGGTAGTACCTACCTCTAGGATTATTTTGAATATTGAGTGACTGACTACACCTAAAGGTTTTGGAGTGGTGCCAGGCACATGTTATGGTGTTATGAGTTAAACATTTGCTGGCTCTCTCTCTCTTTTTTTCCTTCTAATTGGTGAATATGCTTTGTGTTAAAAACAGAAGAGTTCAAATTATATCCAGAATGCTGTAAGATGGTAGGGAAGTGGACCCACTAAACACAAAAGTAGCTGATTCATTCAATATTAGAAAGGCTTCAGTTAGAAATGGATAAATCAAAAATGTTTAGGCACCTAAAGAAGACATTTTCTCAAATCTAGAAGAGTTTAGTATGTAGACAGCACTAAGGTGGTAAATAAATTAAGTTTTGCCCTATTTTTAAGAAAAAATGAGAAACAGAGGTGCTTTTAATTTAACTTTAAATGCCATCCAAGGTATATAATTTGGTAGGAATGTATTAGGCTTTCTGGGAAAGTCAATATAAAAATACTGTGTTGCTCTCCCTGATTCAGTTTACTTAGCAAGTGGTGAGCTGTTGGCAGAGGGGCACCAGCATGCCTGGTTGTAAAATGGTGTCTTTAGAGTGGTGTAGAAATTTAAAATCTTATAAATCAGATAATCTAGGGAATTTGTTGTTTAAGGAATTATAAACGTTTATGAGAACTCTTAAATAATGTTGTTTCCCCTGAATGCTGTTTTTATCAGTTTCTTTTTCCATGTGTGTGTTGTATTTTCCTAAAGCAAGACTTAGCTAAAATATAGAATTGTACAAAAGTTGGCCCTTCTTCCTAATCACATTTTTAATATATCTATATTTCTCAGTAATGTTTATGTTGCATTTATTCATATTCTCAAGAACAGTAGTTGTCATATGGTTGGAAAGACACTCTTGATGATAGGCTCATTCCATGTGCTCTGATAAACAAAGAAGTTAGCTGTTTCTTCTTGTCTTCACATTTGAGAAGGAAAGTGACAGTAAAACTCCCTAGTTTTTACTGGGGAGGTGGTGCATAACGTAGGGAAGTCCAGCTCAAATGGTGAACAGGCTGACTGACCTATAGATATTAAAAAAAAATAAATTTAGGTCTGTTAATCCCAGGTACATTGGGTAATTCAGACAAGTTGAATGTATAAAGCAGAAATAGATAAGAACACTTTGTAGTTAATGCAACTCTTGTTTTAAATGGTGTCTTAAAGGGCTTAAGGGTATTAGAACTGACAGCAGTTTATTCAGTTAAGCACAATTTTATCTGCAGGCTTATTTGCACAGTTAATTTGCTCAGACTGTAGCAAGGCTGTAATTTATAGCAATTTTTTAATTAGTAGAATTTAAAATAATCTTTTATGTTACAGTGGGAGAAAAGGGAGAAGAAAGAAATCTAGGAGAAAACAATTAGCCAAATGTATATTTTCCCAGCGAAAAATCTTATAAAACTAGCTGGAAAAAAAAAAAACAACACTAGCTGAATGGGCCACACAACAGGGAGGCAGACAGATGAGATTATATCATAGAGAGGTACACTGGGTGTTTTGCCAAGTACACCTGCAAATCCACTTCAGGGCTAATTCACAAAATACAGATTTAAAAAGGAAGATGCTTTAATGCCTGTATTTCATATTCTGAATGATTTTGTTCAGTTAAAGTCATCTGTAAAACTATGGTCAGGTCTGCTAATCACTGTATATCAGTTACCTCATTAGGAAGATCATCTAATGTAGGATGGTATCTCAAAACATTCCCCCTCCCCTTTTTTTTTTTTACATATTTAGAATGACATTCACCGAATTGGTCAGAAGTAGGAAGGGGAGATCAGAGGAGGCCAGACTGGCCTGAACATAAATTGTAAGCCTACCTGATGTGGAATTTGGGGAGTAACAAGCCACTTGTGATGCATAAACTGCTTGAGATAAAATTGCTCTCGGGTTTTCATGTTCATTCCATTCAGTCAGTTCAGTTCAGTTCAGTCGCTCAGTTGTGTCCGACTCTTTGTGACCCCGTGAATCGCAGCACACCAGGCCTCCCTGTCCTTCACCAGCTCCCAGAGTTTACCCAAACTCATGTCCATCGAGTTGGCAATGCCATCCAGCCATCTCATCCTCTGTCATCCCCTTCTCCTTCCGCCTTCAATCCCTCCCAGCATCAGGGTCTTTTCCAATGAGTCAACTCTTCGCATGAGGTGGCCAAAGTATTGGAGTTTCAGCTTTAGCATCAGTCCCTCCAATGAACAGCCAGGACTGATCTCATTTAGGATGGACTGGTTAGATCTCCTTGCAGTCCAGGGGATTCTCAAGAGTCTTCTCCAACACCACAGTTCAAAAGCATCAGTTCTTCGGTGCTCAGCTTTCTTCACAGTCCAACTCTCACATGCATACATGACCACTGGAAAAACCATAGCCTTGACTAGATGGACCTTTGTTGGCAAAGTGATGTCTCTGCTTTTTAATATGCTATCGAGGTTGGTCATAACTTTCCTTCCAAGGAGTAAGCGTCTTTTAATTTCATGGCTGCAGTCACCATCTGCAGTGATTTTGGAGCCCCCCAAAATAAAGTCTGACACTGCTTTCACTGTCTCCCCATCTATTTCCCATGAAGTGATGGGACCAGATGTCATGATCTTAGTTTTCTGAATGTTGAGCTTTCAGCCAACTTTTTCTGTCTCCTCTTTCACTTTCATCAAGAGGCTCTTTAGTTCTTCCTCACTTTCTTCCATAAGGGTGGTGTCATCTGCATATCTGAGGTTATTGATGTTTCTCCCGGCAATCTTGATTCCAGCTTGTGCTTCTTCCAGCCCAGCGTTTCTCATGATGTACTCTGCATATAAGTTAAATAAGTTCATTCCATTACTTATACATTCTCTGTAGATTGTATATTATGTGAGAACATGATGGGCTTGATTCCTGCCCTCAGAAGCTGCCTTGCTAGTAGAAGACACAATACTTAAACAGTTACACAACTGCTTGTTACAAGAATGCTGAGTACCTGGAGAGATGTTTTAGTTTGGTATAAAGCAGGGGTGGGGGGGGGCAGTAAGAAGAGGGGGTCTTTGTGATTTTTTTTTTTTTAATTGGAATATGAAGAGTGAAAGAGCTAGCCAGGCCAAGGGGCTGAGGAGGTTTTCCAGCCAGTGGAAGCTGCGCAAGGGATCTGAGATGGAACCAACACTGCAGCTGGAGCAGAGAGGACAGAGGGGCAGACTGGTGAGTCGGCTGCCACCCGATGAGGCAGGGCCTTATCATAGCACAGCAGGGGAAATTGAAGGCTTGGATTATAGGATGGAACTGGACATGGATTATAGGACATGGATTATAGGATGGAACTGGAGTCATTGTATGAAATATAAAAGGATTCCCCACCCCACCCCTGGGAGCACCTCTGCCCACTCTGCTGCCAAATGCCTTGAAAGTCTTACTTCCTCCCACGTGCTCATTCTTTAACCCTTTGCTATCTGACTACGATCTCCACACTCTTTAAGACTTGTTTGAGGTCACCAGTGACCTTTTTGCTGTCACACTGAGGCCTTTGTAATGCACTTGTTATCTGAGACATTTTGATGCTGCTAAACACTCCTTCCTGAAAGATGCCCCACCCCACTGCTGTCTGGTTTCTGAGACAATACTTTTTTCCTTTCTCTCCTTGTCTTTGTTGTCTTCTCTTCCTCTCCTTTCTCTCCTGCCCCCATCAAAGACTTCCCTAAAGGTTCTGCGAGTGGCAGGTCTTATGTGTTCCTAGAACTGTGCAGATGACCTGCTTTCACCTGTGTTGCATTGACTCTCTTATTCATATTCCTTCTTCTCCACTCCCTACTTGCCCAAATACTGACTGAGCAGCTTTAGGCAAATGTTCAGGGCACTGGGGACACAGGAATAAGAGGTAGGGTCTCGTTCTTAAGGAGCCAACATTCTAAGATGTTAAACATGGTAATTAAGAAGATCATTTCAGGTGAGGATAAAGAAACAGTATGGTATGGGTAGAGAATGCTTAGGTAGGCAGGAGAGGGGCTACCTCTGAGGAAATGACATTTGGGCTCAGACTGCAGGAGCCAGGCCATGCCAGGACCTGGAAGAAGAATACCAGGCAGAGAGCAGCAGGCGCCTAGGCCCCATGGTGGGATGCTCCTTCTACTCCATGGTGGGCTTGCTTACCTGCATGTCTTGTTGATACCTCCTGTTTAACCGCTCCAGAATTGATAGCATCTTTTTCTGACCCAGCCAACCAGTGGATGATTTCTCTGTTCCTCTTAGTACTAAGTCTATTCATAGCCCTCGAAACCAGTGGTCAGAAAACTTTTCCTGTAGAGAGGAAGACAGTGAATATTTTCAACTTTGAGGATCATGCCACTCTGTGACAACTCCGCAGTTCAGCAGCTGTGTAACTAAAGCAGACATAGACAACATGTAAACCAACAAGTGTGCCTGTGTTCCAGGAGAACATTATGTGTGGACACTGACATTCGAGTTTCCACTTGTCACAAAATATTTTTTCCCCAACCATTTCAAAATACGAAAATCGGGGACTTCCGTGGTAGTCCAGTGGTTCAGACTCCGCACTCCCAGTGCAGGGTGTGTGAGTTCAGTTCCTGGCTGGGAAAGTTCCACATGCTGTGTGGTATGGCCCCCCAAAATTAAAATTTGTACATTTCTTTGCTGTGGAAAACAGGTGGGAGGCCAGACTTGGCATGTGGACCCAAGTGTGCTGACCCCTGCCTCCAGCCCCCAGTTCAGCAGTTTGCCAGACCATCTCAGTGCTCCCTCCCAGTGTGTGGCGCCTTTGTCTTCTCTGCTGTTCCCTGCCTCTGACCTAGCTTTCTTTTCTTTGCTTGGGTGATCACAGTAGTCTCCAACCCAGTCTCCCTGCCTCCAGCCTTCCCCTTCCGTCTATCTTCCCCACAGACATTGGAGAATCTTCTTGCAGTTGACTCATGTCATAGAATTTCCCTGACTGCTGCCTTTATAAGCTCTATTGTCTGCAGAAAACAGTGCGAATTCCACCTTTGTGTAGTATTCAAGGGCCCCTGTCATAAGATCTCAATTTTTCAGCTTATTGTCCCATTTCTCTCAGCTACACTGTGCCCAAATAGATGGTTCACTATTTTACATTTGTGCCTCCAACATTTCTCATATTTTTTCCTGCTTCCTCACCTTCTGTGGACTTTGCCCGTGCCTCATGCTCTCCATCTGTCACAGTTCTGTAACTATCGAGGTCCCTTTAAGCGTCGCTTGTCCCTCCGCCTCAAGCTCCCACAGAAGGCCTGTGTTATGTGTGTTTCGTCCTTTGGCTGTGTGCAGTGCTCTTTTTAGGGCATTGTGTTCTGCCTCGTGCTGCAGCTCCTTTGTAGACTTCCCTGCACTGTGCAGTTCCAAGGTTCTTGAGGACACGGACTTATTCACTGTAATATCCCCTTTCACAGAAGGTACATGGTTGTTTATTCAGTAAATGCTAAATCCTGTGTAAACGATTTGTAGAGGCTTAAAGGGGGAACATTTTTCCTAGGAATGTGACCACATTATCCTGACTCTTATATGAAGTAGTACAGTTTTGTGATAGATCAAATATTTTGGAAGACTACGGTGGTATTCTTGGTCCTGTCAGAAGCTTGAATGTTCCTCTTCAGGAATTGATAAGTTTCCTTTTGTAAAAAAGAAAAAGAGAAAGACTGTTCAGTAAATCATGTTTCCTTTCCTAAAAACGCAAGGCCAAGTTATTTGCTTATTTTAGTTTGCTGCTGGAGAAGGAAATGGCAACCCACTCCAGTATTCTTGCCTGGAGAATCCCATGGACAGGGGAGCCTGGTGGGCTGCTGTCCATGAGGTCGCACAGAGTCAGACACAACTGAAGCAACTTAGCTTGCATGTATTGGAGAAGGAAATGGCAACCCACTCCAGTGTTCTTGCCTGGAGAATCCTGTGTACAGGGGAGCCTGGTGGGCTGCCATTTGTCACACAAATGGCACAGAATCGGACACGACTGATGTGACTTAGCAGCAGCAGCAGCAGCAGTCTGCTGTTCATTTTTCTCACAATAGTTTCCCTGCCTCAGTCTTCCACCAGATCACTTGTCACATGTATTAAGCACATTTAATGAATGGTTCTGGTGTATGTGTGTGTGTTTATGTGTATAAGAAGCCCCAACTTTTGGTGAGAAATAGAAATTTAAATAAAAAATACTAGGCCCCTGTTTACACAACCTGATGTGACCTAAAGATGGTGAATATCTTAGAAGAAGCAGGCAAAAAGGCCCTGGGGCAATACGGGAATCATGATGTGAGTTTGGTGGAAAATGAGCAAACCACTTTCTGAGTATCTTGTGCTCTTTTGGTGAACTTGTCCTTTGGGTAGCCCACGTCTCCCAGGTTTGTGAGGCATGTAGCACATCTTGTTAAGTGCTAAGGAGAGGGAGCAAGAGGATGAGACTCAAGATTAGTAAGCTTTTACTACGTGTCTGCTGTTTGCGTGCTTTGCATTTGATATTTAATTTAATCTTTTAATAGCCAAAGAGTTGAATCTTAATGGCATCATTTTCCAGATGAGCAAACAAAGCTAATGGCATAGCTGGAATTCAAATTTGCAGCACTCTCATTTAAAATAAAAAAAGCTTTCTACTCTTACTCCTTCCCTCCTAGCTTTAGGGAGATCCAGTTGGAAAACTCTTTAACTCTTAAAAAGGCCTTCTTTCTATTGTCTTGTCATTCCCTACCTTTTATTTCTGACATTGGCATTTAAATGAGAACCCAAGGAGTGTGGTACTATCCTCCTTTCCAACCTAATGCTTCTGAAGCAGTTTTAGGCTTTAGGAGAAGTGCCTCTAGCCACCTGTGTTGTGTTTGATATTGTTAGATGCTAAGTAATAAAGAAGATCTGAAAGGATTGTTTATTGTGGGAGGATGAGGGGTGAGGTGAGATGGGCAGTTGGGTTAATTTAGCAGTCCTAAAGATAATTTTGTATTTTCCTGTGAAATATTTTTGACATTTTAAAATCAAACTTGATTTTCTGTTACTTTATATTGGTTATTATATAACATATCCCATGATTACCTGTTTAGATCTGAGTATTCTAGATGTGTTATGAAAATCATTCTGGACTTGGAACCAGGAGGAGCTGGTCTTAGGCTTTCCTCTGACACTGTGACTTTGGGCTCCCAATCCTCACTTTCTCTCAACTGTGAAAGTGAAAGTCGCTCAGTTGTCCGACTCTTTGTGACCCCCCTGGCCTATACAGTCCTTGGAATTCTCCAGGCCATAATATTGGTATGGGTAGCCTTTCCCTTCTCCAGGGGATCTTTGCAACCCAGGGATCAAAACCAGGTCTCCCGCATTGCAGGCAGATTCTTTATCAGCTGATCCACAAGGGAAGCCCAAGAATACTGAAGTGGGTAGCCTATCCCTTCTCCAGGGGATCTTCCCAACCCAGGAATCGAACTGGGGTCTCCTGCATTGCAGGCGGATTCTTTGCCAACTGAGCTATCATGGAAGCTGTAAAATGGATTTAATAGAACTTGTCACCATGGCTGTTTTGTGAAGGTTAAATAACTTAGTTCACCGTTTCAGACAGTGCCTGGGATTCAGTACCATTTAATAAATGTTAGTTACCCACTCCCACCCCAGATACTGAACATTGTCAGATAGTCTGTAAATGATTATGTAATGTTTATATATTTATAAGTGGGATCTTTATTATTCAGGCTATAAACTTCTAATGCAGGAAACCCCTTTATGTAAGTAGCTGGGTTCCCACTAATATACAAAAGCATCAGTATAAGATAATGGTTCAGACTTCCCAAATCTGGAACCAGTGTCTGTGGGTTTGAATCCTACTTTATTTTAAAAACTGAGTTTATTTTACTAGCAAGTTATTCAACCTCAGTTTTCCCTACTTCAAAATAAGGGTAGCATACCTACTTCATAGGATTGTAAAGTTTAAATGAGCACGTGTAATTGTATACCAACATCCTATAAAGTTTTACTACTGTTATTATTTGTTAACCTCCATTTTCGCATTGTATAGACAGCCAATAAGTCAACTGGAAAGTTGCTGAGATTCCATCTCATATCTTCTCTAATCAGGAGAATCCTCTGTATATCATATATCCTCCATTTATGATATAGTTTAGTTTTTTAGCTTAGTTTTTTCCTCTATCTTCAGGCTCTTGGTTACTTCATTTTAGTTCATGCTGCCCTTTTCTCATGTGTAGTGCACTTTC